ACAAATCTATATAAAAATTAAAAACAATTTATTTAAGTTTTCCCCACTCAACGTTGAAATCGCGCTTGGAATTTTAAGTGTCTCTTGAAAAATAAAATTCTATAAATTTTGGTTGAGAGCTAAGTCCCATATGCAAAGTTCATTTTGTGATTTATACAACATTTATTACCCAATTGCACTTTACATGAATTTTCCATATTTGTTTACTTTGTTTGTCAGACTTAAAACAAATAATATTGTCAAACAAATTTGTAAATTGATTTTTCATTTTCAGATGCTTGTCTATCTAAATGATGACTAAGTAAATTCCAATAGTTATTCATATTTAATTAAAAGCATAATAAACCAAAAAGGTCAAGTTCTAGTGGTTGTTTTTCATTTTAAAATTTAATTCGCCAAAGTGACCTTATTGACACGGACATTAAAGCCGCAAAAAGATAAACAAGTAATTTAAATGCAATTTGAATTAGAATAGGCAACTTAATCAAATCGTATGTCACATGAAAGGATGGACTTGCATATTTTATTTATCACACTGCGACGTGTATAGGAGGTTGAATTTATTTCGATGGGTATACGGTATTTGAAGTGACATTAAGTCGAAACCTGCTTAATATTCGCCCTGCTCGACTGTCACATTGAAAAATCTTAACTAGGCATCCTGCATCCACCATAGAAAATTTATGTAGCGAAACTTTTTTTCAACGGTTTTCCCTCCACTTTCTGTTTTCATCTCCCCTCGGCGGCCCTTGGAATTTAGGCCAAAACACTTTTGAAGCTTGCAACATGGCGCAGATGTGGGTTGCAAGTTTACAAATTTTCAAGAGCTTCAGAACGGTGTAAAGTTGAACGAAATGTGTCGTAAATAATTTTCGTTGGTGATTTTTTATGGTGAGGGATGAAGTTTTAAAGTATTTACGCCAGTTTGCTATCTGCATTAACTTCAAAACTAAAGACTTATTTGAGCTTTTTCTAGTGAGAGTAATTATTTTATCCACAATTATTTACTTTAAATAAAATCATGTGTACAAAAATTATGTGGAACTCTTAGGTTGATTGGTCCATATCTTACTAGTGTAGCTGATAACAATCTTCGTGGTAATATCCGTTTAAAAAAATAAGAAAGTTAATATGAAATGTCCCACATATTAAATAATTGATGTTAAAGGTATGTAAATTATTTTAAAATTAAATATAATATATATAAATATAAGCAAAATGTATGCATAATTAATTCACTGAACAGTTGCCGGCACTTGCCGTAAAACTAATTTAAATAATTTCCATTACGGGCGTAGTTGCCGTTGCCTGTGCCTTTTCTCACTCGCTGCTCTGTGGAAGCCCAGACTTGCATATAAAACATGAAATTAATGCTTAATTAGGCAAGTTTCTACCTCCACACATTATACACAAAAAGGTATAGGTATGTGTGTGTGTATATCTTAACTGGATTATTTCTCCAAAGAAGAGGGCACTAAGAAGTTTTCCTCGCCATAAACTTAAATTTTGATTTTCATAATTTATATGCAAGCCCGGCCGAAGGCTATGCTACAATTTGCGCAGCATTTAGTCAGGGTTGTTCCCTTTTAGGGTTGCCATCTTGGCGTTGCATGCTCGCTTTTGTTTTATGCCAGCCAGATGGAGTTTATGACCCAAAGCCGTGTAAAGTTTTTATATGGGGAAAAAGTCCAGGTTTGACATCACAACGAAAGTTTTTATCGCAATAAAAGTTGACAATTGCAAATAGAGGGGGATGAATGTCAACTAAAGTATCTTCTGAAAAACTACACCTGAGATCTCACGTAACTTTTCATGAAAGTAAAAACTTGACTGAAAGATGACTGAACAAAATTATACAATTTAAAACATATGTTTTATTTAATTACACCATTTTTAGTATATTGAGTTTAAGTTCTCATTAAGAGAAATAATTTAAAACAGTGCTTCTTAATCTTCTATAAATGTTTTTCCATTTTTTTTTGACTATCATAGTTTTATAGTATGTATTTCTTTTCTGCGTGTCCTGTATTTTTTCTTTGTTTATGCGACTTTTCAATGTTCATGCAGTGCATAAATTTCATACGTTTTCCTTTTTACCACATTTTTCTAGTGTAAGTGTGTGTGGGGGAATGTCAAAGCCTTCTACTCTCTAACCCCCTTCCCCCAAAAACGCGTCTTTGGGTAACTATTCCAATGCAAAAAGGACTGCATACATTTTTGGGCAAAACAATGCGCTGGGAAATTTCTAAAACAAACACACACGATAGCCCTGTCTCTTTCTAACCGGCTCTATCCCTCTCTTTCACTTCTTCTATGTCAAATCGTGCGTACTTATTTACAAGGGGTACCAAAACTCATTTTGGTTTCTTTGGGCTTTTTGGGGTGCAATAAGGAGAATTCTAATTGTTACGAGCGTTTTCCTGTTGGACTTGGCGCGAGTCCTTAGCAGAAGAAAAAAAAACTACAACCCAACCCCTAGAATAATTCTCAATTTCTCCCAAATTGCAGTCTCTCTTTCTCAGTTACTCTCCCAAGTTCCCAAAATTCTCTCAATTTCGAAGGCGCATGCTCAACAATCTGTTCGAATTTCATTTGTTTCAGTTTTAGAATTTCACGTTCCACAGATGTCATGTCTCTCTCACTCTTTCTCCCCCTCTCGCTTTCCCCTCGAATAACCTCATGTGTATTGGCGTAGCATTTTAAATGAATGAAAAATATTGTCGTAAATTTCTTGTTCACTTATGCTGCCTTTACCCTCTTCTGCATGGCCTTTTGGCCAGTGCAATGCTTTGTTAAGTGTTTTACATAGTTGAGTTTTCCGCTTTTCCCCCGCTTACAGTTTTCCGACCCATGTGTGCATCCTAGAATTTCCTTTTACCTCCTGCTCTCCAGTGGCTGCTCATAAATTAACTCAAGGATACCAGGATCTCATGGAGAACCTAGAAATATGGGGGTGTATGAAATCTCCAATTTCTTGTCTAAACGCTTGAAATACCAAACATAATTTGAAGTGGTTTAAGGGAATCTTTAAGGTGATAATTTTTCCAAGATGTCATCAAGTGGTTTGTTTGATATTTTTAGCAGGTTGAGCGTTTTATTTTGAAAGAAGAGTTTTTTTTCTTTATCTTACTAATCATTATAATCCTGAACATTATGCTTAATGATTAAGATTTCAACAACTTATTGATTCATCCATTTAATACCAATACTGTTTATATACTAAATGTGTTACTTTATTTAATATTTTCTGGCGATTGCTTATTTTTCTTGAAAAGCTTTATAATTCGACATCATGCCACGACGAATCCATTGATTGCAACAAATACATGATTAATCAGTTTTTTAAAAGCTGCCTGCACAAGTGTCAGGACAATCAAAGGACATTTTCCAGAGGAGAGAGAAAAGCCTGCGATAATGTGTGAAAGCAAACAGAGTAAATGAAAATCACTCAAACAAAAAGCAGAAGCGATAGCGAGTGAGAGACAGTTGCAGTTGCAACATTTATGGAAAACTGTTAATTGACTGACAGTTGAACAGTCGAAAGGGGTTGAGGGTTCGGGGTCACCAATCGCAATTCCAAAACCCATCCACCCACACAATGCGGAAACAACTGCAAAGGAAAGTTTACTTTTTTCAACATCCATTCGTGGATTTAAATGAAACAAGTGTGGGTGTGGGCAACAGTGAATATATTTCAACGTTTCATGAACTTGTTCTGGTTGCTAAACCAACTTGGACATTCAGAGGAAAAGCTGTCAGCTGTCTGAACTTTTCATTCGACTCGTGTCAAAAGTTGGTCGGAAAAATGGGAGGGGGAGAGGTGCGGTTTTTGGGTTTTCCGGGATCGAGCACCACCGGTAATCCTAACTTGCTTTACAGCTGCTCAGTTGATGCCTGAATGGATTCTGGGTTTCCTGTAGCTTCGATATTTGCTTATTGAGCCACGCTTGAAATGACAGTAAAAGTACAGTGGGTGCCAAAAAAAAAAAAATTAAACCAATACATGGCATTTGTTTTAGAAACAAAAAATGGATGAACACAGAAAAAAATGTATATCAATTTAAAATTTTTCCTTCTCAAATTAAATAAAACATATCATTAAAGATTGTATTACCTTTCGTAAGGATATACAAATAATTTTTTTTTTATTTTATATACATGTCTACAGATATTAATATTTCTTGGGAATTTTGAAATATCTATCCACATTTTTCTCTGTGTAAATAACCTTCCACTTTGTATCGACCGTAATTGCTTGCCATGTCAACCAAATATTTGAAAAGCAATTTGCAGTTTTATCGCAACAAAAGATGTTGCAAAGAAAAACATGGAGTGAAGAGAAATGGTCAGTCAAATTGAAAGAGAGCCAAAAACAGTCAGCACTTTTCTGTGATTTACGTTTAATTGTCGAAATTGAGCTTTCATGGCTTGAAAAGGTCACATAAAATCACTGCACTCCTTTACTGTCTCCTCATTTTGACATTAATTGTGTCTTATTAAATTTCTCGATAAATATTAGTCCCAGACATTTTAAGCTATTTCAATGACATCGATCTCAATTAAGCATTTACTGACACCATTTAAGTGCATTGACATACGAAAACTAATCTTTGTTTTATCCGTTAACCCTCCAGTGAATTCAATTTGTATAGTTTGTCCAGCATTATGCGCTCTCTTGATTTTCATAATTTTCCTCCATGAATTTCCATAATGGGATTAATGTGTGAGTATCGTTGTGCAGACACATTTATTTTTCGAGTGCCATAAGGCACATAACTAAGCCTAAACAGCTGAACAATTTGGTGTGCTAATGTGAAATATTAAATACGCTGTGGTGAGTTTCATAAATCTCTGAACAAATACGGTGGATGCTCGCTAATTGCTTTCGGAGTCTGAATATTGAAACTGAATTTTGATGACAGTAGAATTGGCCACAGTTGGGAGTGAAATTGTTAAATAGGATTTTGGTATACTTATTTTTAAGAGATTTTTGCACTTACCATTATGCCCCATATTGGTGATGATGACCCAGAAATCGATGGTCTTCTCCGGACCCAGCTCCTCGTAGTCCCACTTCTTCTTGACTCGCACCGCGCCATTTGTTTCCACCGTCACCCAGGGATTATCATCCCTGATCTTGAATGTTTCCTTGTCGGTTTCCTTTTCCAACTGAAATACCGATTTTCCCTCAGTATCTCCATCAGCTTCGGTGAACTCAATCCTCTTGGTGGGTCGAACAGCTCGGGTAACTCGTCTTTTCTCGCGGTGATGTGAGTGATTATTCACCTCATCGTGTTCCAGATGTTGCATAATAAACGAAACTGGTTCAGCAGCCAAAAATTCCAGCAGGACCTTTGCGGGCTTGGCACTCAGTAGACTGGGATACCTCAAATCATGAGCCAACACCTCGATGAGAAGCTCATTTGAGGTGGGCTCACCGGCCAGCATTATTTCGCCAGTTTGAGGGACTATAATCACAACATTGCTGGGCGACTTGAGGCGATAGGCAATTTTATCCCCATCAGCATCGGTGGCCTCTACTTTTCCCATGATCGCAAATCGCTGATAGGTCACACTACTGTTGCTCTCCATATTCACCGATTTTTGACCAGCAATGGCGAACTTATAATCCAGGGACTTAAATATCGGTCTATTGTCGTTTTCATCGAGCACGGTGATTTGTATTTTGGAAACTGTCTTATCCAAGCCATCTACATCGGATGCTTCCACGGAGAGATCGTAGTGAGCCCGTTCTTCACGGTCCAAGGGACGATTGGTGACCAGCCAAACACCGGACTCGTCATCGCCATTAATTACCAAGGATTTGGCGCTGATTTGGATGTTTTTATTGGCCTTGCGTTCCTGCAGAGCAAATGCATCATCCACGTTGCCATCGATGATGGTGTACCTCACTTTCTTGGGCGTGGCCAGTTCTTCGTCCAGGATGGATCCGCTGAAGGCCTGCATCAGAGGTACTCCACGCACCCTGGTACCCGCCGGTTGATTCTCCCTAACTTCACCACTGGCATCGAGTAGGGAACCCGAAAACCGCAGCATATCATTGCGATGCATCACGAACAACTGGAGATTGTGGGTGTTGGTGACATTGGGCGTTTGTTCAACGACCACCAATTGAACTGGACGATTGACAAGCGGGGATATATCCGCCGTGGTCATCACCACACCATCTTCCAGTACCGTAAAGTACTTGGAGTAATCACTATTCAACATGTGATAGGCAGCTCCGCCGGCATGCGAGCTACCATTTATCTTAACGGGATGGGTCTTGAACTTCTTGATGCTAAATCCGGGATAGGTATCGTGTGGCAGCACCAAGGACATTTCGCTGTGATGCGACGGTGACTTTTCCACATCGCCAGGACTGCCGGCCAACATGCGAGCCGCATTTTCCGCCGACAAACCAGCAAATGTGGTCTCCTCTATGGCCAAAATTAACGGTAGAGATATCAAAAATATCGCGCAGGTGTATAGATTTAATCGGTTGGTTATATAACGTTGCCTGAGCTGATTCAGGCAACGTCGTGCCGCCATTTTGCCGCGGCACTGTTTGATCCTGTTGACGATTAGCACTTTTTTCGTGACTTATTCTCCTTTTTTTCTCCCTCTTCAATTGTGGATTTTACGCCTTACGCTTGACTTATTCATGGGTGAATTCCTTTTGTCCTGTCCACTTTTTTCCACTGCTAATCAATACATTTTCGTTGTTTCTTTGTGGGTGGCACAATCTGCAAATAAAGTGGGTGGGAATGAAAATTGTTTTATGGTTAGTCGCAGTTCTCGGTACAGGTAAATATTTATGGGCATTGTGTAAAGTTTATGGGTCATTTGGAGTGAATAATTCATGGGTCAGGTGAATGAATAACATTTGGGCAGTCCTGCAAGGGTTAATCAAGTATGCATGAAAGTTGCGTTCATGCGTGTACAGACTTCGCGGGTAGGTTAAGTTTATAAATAATTAAAGTGTTCAGTAATTAATTAAATTAATATCTTGTAAATATCTGGGAAAATATTTGTATACTCCTATAAAACTATTTAAATTAATTTACAAAGAGAATACCTAGTCAAAGTATTTCGTTAATATTTCAATTATTAATATCAAATTTATAACAGGCACTTTCAAAGCAGGTACTACATACAACATTTTAAATCAATAACCTTAGTAACAATAATTTAAAAATTCCAAATATTTTGATATCCATAGCTGTAAACAGAAGGCTCGTTAAAACCGACAAATTCCTTTAATTCATTAAACTGCGTAAAAGGAAAATGGAGCCAAATTCCTGAAGCTTGGTCATCATCACCATCACATCGTAACCAGCAGCTGAGCCCGAGAAAATTGTCAACTTTTCACTTTTTAATTGCCATGTTGCAGGCTAGCACCAAACTCTCGAAGAGCAGGAAGAATGTTGCACAAAGCGAAAACTTTTTAATGATATTAGCAAAAATATTTAATATTCATGCTTTTTTGGCAGAAAGGAAATCAGAAAGGGAAAGGAATGGGCAACATTGTCACAGTCTGTTCTTGTCAAGGACTTTTCCCAATATGTGGGATTTTCGGTTGGTTTTTGATGTTCTCCTGACATGCTCTACATAGCGCCTCAGCAATTGCATTGTCCTAGGTTCTAGTTAATTCTGTAGGGCTCTTCTAGTTTCACCCCCTTAAAAATATGTGCCACACATGGTCGGCCTTGAAAAACAAAAATTTCATTGAGAAAATTATTTTAATTACCCCATGTGCAACACGCCACATATTCCCTCTCCCGACCCTCTAATCCGACAATGGCACGCACCCTGTAATTTCGCTACCTAAAGTTGGGTAAGTCGGAAAAGGTTCTTTCCCTTTTAACAATTTTTCTAACAGCTGCGCTGGCGCCGCTGACTTTTGGGCTATTGACCGTTTCGACTACATCCCAAATGTGTTGACAATAGTTTTATTTGCTTTTTACGCATTCCTATCAACGAGGAGGATTTCTGGTCCAACAATTGTTAGGGTGACAAAAAAAGAGTGGGGGCTATAGTGTGCTAATGATCTTATAACTAGCCTGACTTATTATTGGGTGTGACCGGAATTCGATGACAAATGATTACCTGGGTAATTCCTAATGACCTGTGAGCATAAATGTGAAATGAACCTGATGAAAAATGACTACAATTTTTGTGTTCCAATACAAAATAATTTCCTGATACTAAGGTTTTTCTATATAACAAATATGTTAACGGTTGAAAGACTTTTCTGATACTAAGGTTTTTTTAATTACAAATATGTTAAAGGTTTCCTTAAGTTCAAAGAGTCAATGTGTTTTTCAGTTATTCCTATAAATATGGGAAGGCCTTAAATAAGCTTAGGCATTTGGCTTTTGAACATCGTTTTTACTACTAATTTTAAACGACCCGAAAACCTGAGTCACATATGTTTAATTCTCACCTCTTTTGGGATATCGCAGCTGCGGCATCTTAATTGCAATTAGCTATGAAAATGTCCCCCGGCAGCCGAGAGAGATAATAAAACGAAACTTTAGCCCATATCTGTGCGATCTGCTAATCAGTTGACGGAGTTGACTACCAACAAATTACCGAAATGTCTGCTATTTGCATAACCTGCTGCTGCCGCTAATAAACCCATAGTTTCGGGGGTAACAAGCTCCAAGATATTAGCCTTATAAATCATTTACAATTTGTTTGGCAAAAAGTTTTTCTATTCGGCTCCCAACTGAATCATTTCTTTGTCTTTCCTAATTTGATTGGCGGCAGCTTTTCTGCGTGTTAAAATTCATTTGAAGTGACCCAGTCTGCGATTAATCAAAACATTGTTCAGTTTTTGACTCTCCAAAAAGTTGGTTTCGTCTTTCTATTTTTCATAGTGTCACTTAATTAAAAGCGAAGATAAAATGCGATACAATATGTTGAATAAAAAGCGTCCGCATGCATAGCTCTACATTTCGGCATACATGAATATTTGATGCTGGAATTCCGTGTGTTTGATATTTATATATTCAAGCATTCGATTGATTGATGCGTCATGGCAGCCAAAGGGCACGCAAGAGAAAAGGTAAATGAAATGCATAAATATTTGGAAGCTGCCATGGAGTTTAGTTGATGGAAACGTATCTTTGAATTTGACATAAAGTTCAGTTAGTGAAATCAATCTGGCTCACTTTCTAGAAAGCCAGAAGATTTATAGACCCAAAAACAAATATTGAATAGCTCAAATTGAGTAACGCCCCCATAGCGCATCACCTTGGGCTTTCCCCACATTAAAGTCATTTAAAATCAATTAAATATCAATGCTAGCAGACCACCTGTCGTGTTTTAACCTGAAAAGAACTCGAGTGTGAATGCGTTTTTGAAGAGACAACCAAAAATGTATTCAAGCTCAAGGCGTTGCCGGTTTATTGTTTATTAGATTTTTAACTGCTGCCAACAGTTTTTAACAAGTTTCAGTAGCGAAGCTCATAAAAGTTCAACGCAGCTGCATAAATTACGCTTGTGGCTGTCCTAAAATTTCCTGAATTGAATGACAACCAAATGTTGACTAATGAAGCTTTAATTGTCTTTTATATTTACTTTTTCTTTTCGTGGCTTTTACTGACTGTTTGCCAATGGGACGGTTTATTGATTTCTCCTTTGAATATTACCCAATGTCATGCAATTAAAATTCACATTTCCATATTTTATTTACTCACTCTTCACCCGCACAAACAAAAGTTGTATTCGTATTTGATCTGACGATTTCTTTGACGCTTTTCACTTTATTTTATTACCAAAATTCAATTTATTGCTGGGACTTTGTTTTAAGCATTCAGAGTTTGTGACACAATGGAAATGGAATTTAAGGTCAATCAAATAAAAGTTATTAAATGTTTTTTAATGGTCAATAAATTGAGTGACTGTAAAAGGAAAGCTTGTGCCTATGCAGATTTTTAATTGAAGACAAAGTTTTGTTGATGTGGAAAATGTAATGAAAATTACTCATAGAAGCCCTTGTAGAAATATATGTAGATAGTAAAGAAATTATTATATATGTGTTTTTTTTAGTTATTCTGAAAGTATTTAGGAGCTTTACTTTGAGCGTTTCCTTATTAAGTTTCCCCTCTTGTTTGTTAAACACCCTCACAATTCCCCGAAATGGATAACTATTTACAACTCATTTCCCTAATCAAGGTCAAAAAACGGTGTTCCTAAATTCCCAAAAAAAATATTAAATTCAAAAGTTTTGTACCAGGAACTGCGGGCAACCCCTAGAAAATTATGCAAATGAAAAACTAAACAGGGGTTCTAAACAAAAGCCAGACCTAAATGGAACATGATGAAGGGCTCACAGCTCAGAACTCCTCATGTGCAAGTCCACTCTATCAAAGGCGATGAGACACATTCGGCTTGAGGAGATTTTTATTGTTGTGCCACCAGAGCGCGTGGCACTCCACACAACAATGGCCGAAAATCTCCCCTGTCAGGTAGAAATTTGAAAATGAATAGATTGCCTGGCAGAGGGGTGAACACGCTTCCGATTTTCGGTTTTTGGGAGGGTCGAAAATCAGGTTTGTCCCTCCGCTTAATGTATCCGGCAATGGCAACAGAATGGATGGCAACGGGACAGGAGCAAGCAAAGTGCTTCATCAAATATGAAATAGGCCATCCGAGCAGAGGGAAAACCGAATGGGAACGAATGCCAACCAAAAAATGTCATCCACATGGACCCTCCACTTGGGTGACAATGAAAAATTGAGCAGACAATGATTAATTGGTCGGCGCTCGGTTGTTTTGCTATTTAAATTGAAGCCAGGACCAAAAAAAAAAAACGAAATATAATTTCAAGATGAAATTCCCGTGAAATCAGCAGAAACTCATTAAATCGCCAAGTCCTGTGAGTATTTATGGCCTGTCAACACTTTCGCAAAAGGATGGAGAGCGGAAAATGACTTCGGCATGCAAATATCGCATTCGGTTCGGTTTCTGTTTCTGGTCCCCAGGCTATTGTCTCAGACCGAGTCATAAATAAAGTCATTACGCACTCGTCTCTTATTTATGCATGTTTTCCTTATTTTCCTTCTTTTTTTTGTGCCATGCGCCAAAGGATTTTTTGCATGCGATCCAAATATTTGCATATCACAAGAAGCCCGCTTGTCAAGAAGCGTAAACACACGGTAGCCAGGGAAAAAGAGGAAAGGGCGGGGAAAATGAAGGCGTGCACACACTCCAGGTAAAGAGCAACCTGATACTCGCCTCCGCCGATGTCTGGCAACAAATTATGTGTTAACACATGGCCAGCGTTTGGTGACACGCCTCTCGAGACCTCAAAACTGGTTGGTCAGCAAAAAAAAAAGCAGGAGAAAAACGCTGCATTGCTAACTGGAATTTAGCGATAATGATAACTCAGGTAGCTGATCACAAAACGCCAGCAAAGGTGAGGGGAATGGGCTGGGCTCAAATGATGATAGCTGGGATGCGTGGCAGGCTTAAGATGCTGGGCAATCATAGCTAAAGTGCTTGCACTGTCGGAAAAAATAAACTGAGATTTCTGTTTGCTATTCTTTGATTAATGAAATGTTATACCTTATAGAGTGTTTATAAATGTTGTATTAATTATTTTTATAAGAAACCGATTCATTTTGTCATTTTGTAAGGCTATACAAGAGATTTTTTATAAATTAACATGGTTTCCGGAAAATGAAGGCAAAGAAACGATAAATTACAAAATAATCAATTTTTTAAACAATTGTTAAAT